TGCTACAAGAACAAGCAAGTTGTTTGCCGGGAAGCTATCAAGGCAAACAATCAAGTCCCTTCAGGATAAGGCCCCCTCTAAGACTGAAACTCAAAGGGAACACATGAGTAGGTATGTAAACTTGCTGGTGACCACATCGGTATACTAGTGAATGGAAGAGAAGAAAAGCCAGCAATGAAGGAATGGGCTGAGTTCAACCATGTCCCATAGACACCCATTGACCTGGTGATGAGAGAGAGAAGAGGAAGAGCAGATTGGTCCAAAGTGTGTTGAGACCTGGGCACTCCTGAGCTCAAAGGACAAGGGCATAGACACAGAGGGCTATAGCTGAGAGTGAAACATCTGTTGTTGTTGTTAGGTGCCATCGAGTCAGTACCGACCCATAGTGAAGCATCTAGCTGATATTAAGTGAGGGGAGACACACACAAGAACACTCAAAGTTCCAGATAGTACCCATTTGACCTAGCCTTGATAGCTTGATAATCAGAATTCAGCTAGAGGAAGATAAAACAACAACAACTATTTTTGATAAAGAAACCAGGGTAAATTGCTACAATTTGATGAACTTGACCTATACTCATGGATGCAGTAGCTGAAAATACCAAGAGAGAGGGAAGGAATTTTTACATCAAGTATCAATGCTATCCCCACTGTATAAAGGGTGAATAGGGACAGGCAACTTAGACTGGCTACCTAACATGAGGGGGTGATAAAAGCACAAAGTGACTGGCTTACAAGGTTTCAAGAGGGAGTTTAGTTTAAGAGTATGTGGGGGAAGATAGAATCCCCACTGAATAGTCTATATGGGTCTGGTGAAAAGAGATGGGGATAAGATTCTTATGATTCAATAGTGAGCAATTGTTAAGGTAGAAGTTTTGTAACAAAAACAGGGAAGTAGTTAATCTTACAGTCCAGAAACAGAGGATTTTAGGACCATAAAGGAAGAAGAGAACAAATGGAATGCAGGACCCTATCCAGAGAAGCAGCAACATCAGAGATGGAGGCAGAAATAGGGACATTGAGAGAGGGAGCAGCCGAGGACTCTAGATCATGGAAAGAGAAAGATTGAGTGACAACAGCCAGGAGACAGGCTTTCAGAATGTGCCCTTGGGTGGTTCAAATTATTATATATGCCTGTGTGTAAAAAAAAAAATTAAAAAAATAAATAAAGGCTGTAATGAATACAGGGAAATATTCTTAACTGATGATACATGGAGGGGATTATAATCATTGTAATGAAAAAAAGTATATAATTTGTTGTATGTGAAACTGATGATCTGCCCTGTAAACTTTCACTCAATTCACAATACATTTTTTTTGTTTTAAATGCATTAAACGAATGAAATCTAATAATCTGTTTCCCATCCTTTCACAAAAAATAATCACTATTAATAACTTCTTATGATTTTCTTCTCTAAAATAATCATGGTTGAACTCATAGATGAAATCTCTAAGTGGTACAAATGGCTAAGTGCTTAGCTGGACCAAGAGGCAGTTGTTAGAACAGATCATGGGAACACTGAATGGTTTAAAATTAAGAAAGGTGTGCCACAAGGTTGTATTCTTTCACCATACTTACTCAACCTGTATGCTGAGCAAATAATCCGTGATGCAGGGATCTATGAAGTGAAACATGGCATCAGGATTGGAGGAAGACTCATTAACCATCTGCAATATGCAGATGATACAACCTTGCTTACTGAAAGTGAAGAGGACTTAAAACATTTACTGATGAAGATCAAAGAACATATCCTTTGGTATGGATTACATCTCAATGTCAAGAAAACAAAAATCCTCACCACTGGACCAACAAACAACATTCTTTATCAATGGAGAAGATTCAAGTTGTCAAGGACTTCGTTCTTCTTGGATTAACTGTCAACCCTCATAGAAGCAGCAGTCAAGAAATCAAATGACGTATTGCATTAGGCCAAATCTGCTGCACAAGACCTTTTTAAAGTGATGAAGAGTAAAGATGTCAGTTTGAGGACTAAGGTGAGCCTGACCCAAGCCATGGTATTTTCAATAACCTCATATACATGCGAAAGCTGTACAGTGAATAAGGGAGACCATAGAAGAATTGATGCTTTTGAGTTATGGTGTTGGAGGAGAATATTGAAAGTGTTATGGGCTGCCAAACGAACAAATAGATTCATTTTGGAAGAAGTGCAGCCAGAGTGCTCTTTGGCCAAGATGGCCAAACTTCGTCTTTCATACTTCGGACATATTGTCAGAAGGGACCAGCGCTGGAGAAGGACATCATGTTTGGTAAGGTGGAGGGTCACAGAAAAACAGGAAGACCCCCAACAAGATGGATTAGCCAAGTGGCAGAATCGATGAACTCAACGTGGCAACAGTAGTGAGGTTGGCCCATGATCGGGCAGTATTTTATTCTGTTGTGCATAAAGTTGCTATTAGTTGGTGCCAGCTTGATGGCACCTAACAACAACAACCCTTTTTATACTTGCATAGGTCTCCACACCTTTTTTGGGTAAATGCTAGTCTTCTATTTGATCCTCCTCAGGAAAGATTGGTGGGAGCATTTACTTGTACTTCTTACTTGTCATGAGTCCTGGTGTAATGCTGTGCGTTAATGTACCAGACTGCAAAGCCATTTGAACTGTAAGGTTGGTGGTTCAAGGTCACTAGAGTCTCCTCAGAAACCCTATACAGGGTCGCTATGGGACAGAAACAACTTAACAACCACAACAACTTGCTTGTCATAAAATTACATTTGGTATTTTGGAAGTAATGAATCAGGTTTTAGTCAGACCCTTTTAGTGATTCCAAAGAGAGTACTGATCATATTAGTTTTGAAACTCATATCAGTCACAAGAGTCTTCATGAAGTTGGGGGGAAACTAAGAAGTCTTAGGTACCCAAGGATGCTGGGACTACTAGTCTGCCATCATTTGTATCCTCTCAGCGTGTACATGATTTACCTTTTTTGCCTCTTAACTTACTTTTTTTCTCTCTACTATCTTTATAAAGGAGCTCTGGTTGCGTAGTGGTTATGAATTGGGCTGCGAACCGCAAGGTCAGCAGTTCGAAACTACCAGCTGTTCCACCGGAGAAAGATGTGGCTTTCTGCTCCCATAAAGATTTACAGCCTTGGAAATCCTGTACAGGGTCTCTATGAGTCAGAACCGACTCCACGGCACATAACAACAACTATCTTTATAAGTAGCTCTGGTTGCACAGTGGTTACGAATCGGGCTGCTAACCTCAAGGTGGACAGTTCAAAACTATCAGGTGCTGTTGTTGTTGTTGTTGTCAGGTACCATCGAGTCGGAACCGACTCATAGCGACCCCATGCACAGCAGAACGAAACAATGTCCGATCAACCTCACTAACGCTGCCACACTTGATGCCATCAATGATGCCACCTGGCTGATCCATCTCATTGGGGGGTCTTCCTCTTTTTCTCTGACCTTCCATCCTACCCAGCATGACATCCTTCTCTAGTGACTGTTCCCACTTGACAATATGTCCAAAGCATGAGAGACGAAGCTTAGCCGTCTTGGCCTCCAAGGAGCACTCTGGATGCACTTCTTCCAAAACAGATCTATTGGTTCTTTTGGCAGTCCATGGCACTTTCAGTATTCTCCTCCAACACCACAACTCAAAG